CTCCTTTGAGGGGGAGCCTGGCACAGGGAAGGACTCACATATTCGAAGGCTCTGAGAAGGGAAGAGTGAGGCGCGTTCAAGAAAAGGAGGGGGAATCCCCTGATGCTGGCTGTCCGAAGTGGAGGGGCAGAGGTAGGCAAAGGAGGCAGCAGGAAGCAGGAATGACTGCTCCCTCTTACCAGCTGGGCAGCCTGAGACCAGTAACTCACCCTCTCTGAGCCCTAGGCTCCGCACAGAAATTGGGGATAATACCACTTAGTACAGAGGAGTGGCTGAGTTTTAAATGAGCTGAGGCAAGCCTCCACCTCAGTACCGGGAGCTAAATATCATTTTCCTTCTAGTGTTCTGGGTGAGTGGAAAAAAAAAAAAAAAAAGCATTCTAGAACTTCCACAGTCCCATGTGTTTCTCTTTGTTAAAACTTGGCCCTTGGCACACGGGATGTGGAGCCAGGTGACCCCATGCTAGCTCCACCACCGCTGGGCGCCCTCTGGGGAGTCACTTAACCTCTCTTCTGGTTTTTCTAAGAATAAAACAAATGCAAAAATAAAACCTCTATCAGTGACTTGACTCCGTGAAGACAGGCACTATGGAAATGCAGGCTCACGCCTCTGTTCTGCCACAGCTATTTTGGGCCCAATCAGCCTCAGAAGCAGGTCTCACGGAGGGGTGTTTGTGCTTTTCCTTGAGGGCTGGTACGCGTCTCCTTCCCTGGCCTCAGCCGTGTCTGAGTCACACGCGGGGACGAGTGGGCACTGCTGACATTTACCAAGTGAGCCCAGGTCCTGAGCTCTGGCGGCTGCCGTGGCCTTGCTGCTCAGGCCCCTTGAGTGTGCCTTTGTCTCTGCCAGGATTCACCCCCGCCCACGCCTCCCAGAAATACGTGGGCCTGGGGAGCCCCGACTGACCGTGAGCCCAGCAAGGGCTCCCCAGAAAGGGACCCTGGGTGGGACTCTCCGAAAACCTTTCCCGTTCTGTTGAAAATCCGGGACAGCCGACACATCCTTAAAGAGCCAACTTCATCCTCAAGTTTCTAACCTGATGCTCCTTCGCCAGCCCCAGGTCTGAGTAACCCCTAACCTGGACGCCAGTGACCTTTTATCACCCCTGTGACCATTAATATCTATTAGCCGCCATTCATTGTACGACTTGGGCTCTGGGCTCTGCACTGTGTTAACTTTACGGCACCAAATCCCCCCAACCATCCACATGCGGCCGGTGTTGTCAGTGGCCCCATTTTACAGATGCAGCAACTGAGGTCCCATGCAGTTAAGGGTAGCTAATGAGCAAGATTTGGCACCAGGTCTGGAGGGCAGGAGAGCTGGGCTGCCACAGGGCTTCTCAAGCGTGGAGTTTCTGCCTCATTCAGTCTATGTCATCTATAGTCTTCCCAGCAACCCCTTCTCCCGGGGGGTACCCCAAGCCCCACTTTACAGATGAGGGAACTGAGGCCCTAAGAGGGAAGATGACATGCCCAGCATCACAGGACTAGGGAGTGGAAGGGCCGGGTCTGCCTTTAACATCTCTGTCATGCTCTAGAATACCGGTTCTCAAAGTGTGTACCTTGGGCTGGCGGCGGCGGCAGCAGCTGAGAATGTATGAGAAACGCAAATCCTCAGGCCCTACCCCAGACCTACTGAACCAGGAATTCTGGGGATGGGGTCCAGCAACCTGGGTGGAAACAAGCTTTCCAGGGGCGTCTGACCACACTCAAGTTTCAGAACCCCTGGTCCCGTGTCTCCCGACAACCCACAGCTTGCACAAGTTCACACGGTGAAGTTGCCCCTTCCTTTTAAGGGCGGTGAAAACCTGTGCTTGAGAAACGAAGATGGGGAGACGCTCTTCCACGCGCCTTCCCCGTGGCAGGTGGGACTCAGGCAGGGCTACCTCCACAGACTTCCCAGGGCTTCCGGGAAGGGTGGCGCGGGGCTGGGCCCTCCCATAGGAACACACAGCTGAGCTGTCCCCATGAGCAATGAGTTCCAGATGGAGACCAGGGGTGGGCCAGCGTCCCTGAAAGTTTCATGATAAAACAAAACAGAACGAACACACCCAAACCCAACAGATCAGCACCTAAAAAACCACCTTGCCTTTGTTAGAAGAGCGGCCCTGCAAAAGGGAGACCGGCGGTCTCAGTCAGCCCAGGGCTGAAGGGTTCCACGGGTCCCTGTGCTCCAGCCCAGCCAACAGCTACTGGAGAGTTCTTTCACGCCATCCCAGGGCCTCCCTTCCAGCCCCTACTGGGGAGGCCAAGTCCCTGGGTGGCCCTGGGGCTGCCGGCCTGCCCACTGCCCACTGCCCACTGCCCACTGCGGGAACTCAGCCAATGCTGGCCAGCGGAGGAGAGGCCCTTGTGAGTGGAAGGGATGCAAGGCACATCCATGGGACAAATGGGCAAAAGGCGGACACACGCCCAGAAAGAGCGTCTCCGGAAACACGGCAGGAAAGGACACTCCTTCTGCAAACAACTTTGTGATGGCGGGAGCCGCCCCTCTCTCGCTCACTGCTAACTTCCTAGCCAAAGGGTTCGGGACTCCCACGATGAGGCTCACAAAGTCATTACTCTGTTCCTTCTGCCTGATGTCCTTGTAAGAACCTATTTAGCCAGAGCGACTCCATCTTGGTTAAAAGCCATTTTGTTGTTTGTGCAGTAAAACTTAAACTGACTCTGCCCCCCTCCCCCCAGAGAAACTTACTTAGAAGCAAGTCTGGGAAACCAGTAAAATATGGTCAGCTAGTTCCTAATAACAGAGCCCAGAATACAAGGACGAGTCAGGCCAGGTGGAGACATCCAATCAGTAAAAGTACACATATTGTCTCCCTAACCACCAAAGAATATAAACTCCGCCTTTTCGGTGCCAAACTTGAGCGCCAATTCTGACCAGAGTAATAGGTTAGTTCAAACAGCTACTATAGGGTAAATTATAATTCAATTGGCCACCTGTGTGTGACCTAACATGACTATGCAACGTTACAATCTCATTGGCCACCTACGTCTGGCCAGGCTTTTGCTCTATAAAAGTTAGTCTGTGAGACTGGAAGGGGTCGCTCTCTTCAGAGACGGCCCTGGCCGATCAGTCTAACTTCTAATACTTGTCATAAAATAAAACTTTAAATAACTTCACTTTGTCTCGGTCTCGTTCCGTTTAATAACGGACCTAACAGTCCTTCCCTCACACCCTCCTTCTTGACCTAGAATAATCCTGTTTTCTCCTGGAGACCCAGGTGAACGCTGCTGTCTACTGTGGCCCAACTATTCGAAGATCTCGTGGCCACCTGTGTTCTCTAGGACCACGTTTTGGGAACTGCTGACACCGAGGCCTTCCCTGTGAGGCTGAGAGACCCCAGGAGACCAGAACGGTCTTTTCATCTCTGTGTCTGGCACAGAAGCTTGGTTAGCACGGGGTGAATGGAAGGGACTCCCATGGGGGGGGGGGGGGGGGGGGGGGCCCCCGGGGGGGGGGGGGGGGGGGGCCCCGGGGGGGGGGGGGGGGGCCGTGGATCCATCAGATGCAAGCGTATCGGAGGACCACTCAGACCCAGAGCCCAGACAGCAACAAGGTGAGGATTGCTAATGGAAGGGAAGGGGGAAGGAGTGATCTCCAGACGCAGGTGCCTGAGGCTGGGCCGCATGGCACAGCCCAGGGATTCCCTCTGGAAAGAGGAGGACGTGAGCATCCCAGGCTACCGGGTCTAGCAGAGGCCTGGAACACAGGGCCTGGCAGGCCAAGCTTCTCGACTTTAACTTGCATTTGGATCACCTTTGAACTTGTAATGCCAATTCCTAAGCCTTACCCCAAAGACTGACTCGGTAGGTTTGAAGTGGGTCCTGAGCTACACTTTAAAAGGAATGCCTCGGGCGTCTGGGTGGCTCAGTTGGTTGAGCAGACGACTCCTGGTTTCAGCTCAGGTCATGATCACAGGGTCCTGAGATCGGCCCCGTGTGGGGCTCGGCACCCAGGGGTGAGTCTGCTGGAAGATTCTCTTTCTTCCTCTGCTCCTCCCCCCACATTCTCTCTTGCACAGTCGCATGCTCTCTCTCTCTCTCTCTAAAATAAATAAATGAAAAAAGGAACGGCTCAAGGGATGCTGAGAGCCACACTCTGGGAAGCACTGGGCCACAGGTGTCAGGTACAAACACAGACAGGCAAGGGCCTAGCAGACAAAATGCACAAATATGTCCGAACAGCAAAGTCCCCCCAGCATCTCATCACCGTCTGGACACCAACAGCCTAAAGACCCAGTCCACCCAAGAAGGAGCGTTTTCAAGGTTATTTAAAATAATTCAACGGAGATGTGTTTCATGAGGGAGAGCCACATACACGATCACAGGCAACATGACAGGCCGGCCCTGGAGCCATCCATCCAAAATACAGAATCTCTTGTTAGAGACCTTCTCAACTAGCGATTGTGAGCAGGAAACTTTACCCCTCCGAGTCAGGAGGAGGCCACTTCTGGCTAAAGAAACCCTCCTTTGTTTGGATGACCAGGCAGTCACATTGTTGGTAGATGAACTCAAGGCCAGCCAGTGAAAGGGAGGTTTCTAGCAGAACTTGCAACAAAAGGGCTGTAAGGGCCAACACTTGGGTTTGCTACTGATCGCCTCTGGCCAACACTTGGGTTCACTACCGATCGCCTCCTGATGGGCGAATTAAAATAGAGAAGCGAAAGCATGTGCACCCGTGGGGTCGTTAAGACCAGCCCGGAGGCTGTCCCCCTTCCAAGCTCTGGCCTTCAGAACAATCCAGGCCGAGCCGCTCATCAAATGGAGATTGACTTTTATCTGATTAACCGATGGAGAGACATCCTCTTCCATCCGGCGGAACGTTCTGTGGGAAAGGCGTTCTGCAGACTGCAGGGAGAAGTCGGGCCTTGGCTTCCCTCCTGCTCGGCCAGTGGAAAATTACAAAGGAAGGAAGGCTGTCCTTCGCTCTGCTCACCGGTTCTTCCTGGGCCCGGAAAACACAAAGAGAACCCCAGAAACAGGCGAGCCTTTACTTACCTGGGGCGGAGAGGAGTCGGGGAGGCGGTGGGGGCGGGGGTGGCGGGGGCAGCAAGGGGGGGGGCCGGCACTGGCAGATGTGTTGGCAGCTGTCGGTCACCTTGGAGCAGGACTTCTGGGGCTCCCCGTGAGTCACCTGCAGAAACAGGCAGGTGCCCGGGAGAAGACCGTGAGGCCACTGGGAGCCAAAACGGGCCTACCCCGCCCACTGTGAGCCAGGCTGGAACTCGGGATCCCGCCCCCAGACCACCACGGGCAGAAGGCAGGAGTTGGGGTGGCTCTAAGGGAACGGTGTTGTGGGTAGCCGGCCTGGTGGGTTTAGAGACCAAGCTTTTATTCCCAGCTCTGCCAGGGACGGGCTGTGAGACCGCAGCATGTGACCTGGCTATTGACGGGGAGATGAGGATTTGATGGTTAACTCTTAGAATTTCCCTGCCCCACAAAGGAGGGAACTGAGGCCCAGGCTGCCCGAGGTTCCCACACCCTGGGCGGTGACAGGACACTGATTTGACCTCATCAGTAACCTGAGCCAAGCACTCCTGCAGTCTTCCTCTGTACAGCACAAGGCCAAGCCCTCCCCTTTTCTCTGACCACAGGTCCTGATAGCCTTCCTATGTCCTCGCAGGGCCAAGGTGCCCCCCATCTGGAGGGAGGAACCTTACCCAGCCCGGCCACGTGAGCAAAGGCAGCCTGAGGGGTCTTGTGGGAAACACAGCGGGCCAAACCATCCGCATGCTCCTAACAATCCCTGGGCGCCTGACCACAGCTCAGGAGCTCACAGGGCCACGTGGTTCTGCTCCAGAGGCCCCTGACAACGTTTCCAGCCCCACCTCACTCCACACTCTCAGCTTCTGCTCTGCTCTCAACGCCCTTCCTCTAGTCCCTGGACCCTGGCCACGCACCACCCTCCCCTTTATATACGCTGCTCCAATGTTCTAGAATGTTCTCAGACTTGGTCCATTACTCAGCTTGGCTATCAGCTTCTCAGGCAAACTCCTCTGATCAGGTCAGAGCTCCTCTTATAGGCTCTCCGGGCACAAGGCTGCTCTCTGGGGGGCAAAAATCTCCATTTGGGTGATTACCTGATTCCTACCTGTCTTCACCATTGGACTAGAGGCTCTACAGGGGTAGGGACCCAGCCTTTTATTTTCTCTCACTAAGGCAATGCCTGGCATCCAATAAGTATTTGGTGAATAAATGAACGAGTATTAAAAACTTGACCAGAATCCATGCCTCTTGACTCCTGGCCTGGTGTTTTTCCGACACTGGTCTTCAGTTCTGCACCTGTCAGCCAGGATGGGGCCAGGCTCGACCAGCAGTTCCCAGACCTGGGTGCACATGAGAACCTCCCAGGGAGCTTTAAAAAATACTCACGCCCGACCCTTTCCTAAGACCAATTAAATCAAAATTTCTGCAGGTGGAACTGGGCATGGCTGTTTTGTGTAATTTGCCCAGGCTAGACTTCGACTGTGCCCAGGCTAGCCTGCATGAGCACTGCTGGTTTACACAAACCAGCGTCCCGCCCTAACCCTCGAGCCTAGGGTTCTGTGCCTGGCCCAGGGAACGAGGGGATTTAAAGGCATGAAGGGATGGAGTTGGTGAGCATCCTCGCGTCAATGAAGCCCAAAGTAACTTCTCCGGCTGTGCTCTTGGGGGAGTAGAAACCCAGAACCCCAGCTTCTCTGCAGGTAGCCAGCTGTGGCCGGCCACTGGGAAGAGCATGCTATAGATGGCCTTTGGAGGCCAATTCTACCACACATGTCCCGGGCCAGCAGGGAGAGCCCTAGGGCTCCAATGCTCCCTTCACACTTGGTGGCTGTGAACAAGCTGGGTGATGACCACTGGGTGATGGCAGGGAGAGCTGGGCTGATTTACAGCCCTAACTTAATATCTACGAGGCCAGGAAGCAGCTGCTCACCACCTTTCAGTGTTCTTAAAGGGCCACTGACTGTGTTTCAAACTCCAAAGGCAATCTCATCTCCCACCAGGAAGAGCAGATCCTTGGATGAGGAACCTTTCCCAGTTAGTTGGTGGGGATCCCTAACTCCCGGCGCAGCCATGGTACCCCCACCGGCTTCTCCAGCAGCGCCCCTCTCGGCTCTGCCGTGGTCATCGAGCTGCCCTCCTCCCGGTTCCGACCAGCGCTGGCCTCCCAGGTTGCTTCTCTGCTGGACTCCACAGTGTGCAAACATCATGCAAGGCCACTGCCAAAGCAAGGACTCTCCTACTCTCCGAGGGGCGATTTACGCGAGAGTGCGAGAGGAGCACGTCTGCTTAACCTGGCCCAACACGATGACCCATTTTTGTGAGCGGCTGTAAGGGCACGGATGTGTATGAGAGTTTAATGCGATAAAGTTATTGGCAGGGAAGCCGGGGCCAAGTTTCAAGGCTTACGGGGGAGGGAACAAAGGAGTGCGCCTGGCATTTAAAAATAAAAATCTATGGTTCCTGGGTCTCTCTGGCCCAGGAACCATAATGGCCCCACTGGAATGGGAGTGCGCAAGCATCCAGTTTGGGGTGTCTGTTCTTGCGCACCACTGCTTAACCCATCGCCCTCACAAAAGCATCCAGTTTGGGGTGTCTGTTCTTCTCCCTGATGGGGGCCCCCACCTGGGGTCCTTCACTGGAGTTTGGTCCAGCACAAGCCTGTGGCCACTGAGCTACTCTTAACTGACACCTGGTTATTCTGACCTTGATCCGCTGGCCAACTTCCGGGATCCCACGTTCCCCGCTCCCACCCCCACCCATCACGTTGGCTCCACCCGCCCAAAGCTGCTGCTTCTCCCTGGGGGCACTCTGGGGCACCCTGCCCACTGCTTTATTATGTCTGCTCCCCGCATGGAGCCCTGAGCATCTCAGCCGGGGCAGGCGGGTGGGTCTGTGCTTCCGGAGTCCTAACGCAGTGTGCCTCTGTGCCTGACCGTGTGTGAGCCACGGCTCTCGTTTCACCACGAGGATAAGTGGGAAAGGCCAGCGCCGTCATCGATGCTTATGGGGAATGGGGGGAGGACAGACCCCCCGAGGCTAAGTAACATACTAAGATTTCACAGCTCTGCATTCAGTTGGCACACAATGAAAAGATGTGTTGGGGGATGGTCCTCCCACCAACAGACAAACACAGGATCTATTCTGCTCCCAGCTCTGGGTCCACCTGGGGGTTCTGTGCTTGGTGGTGGTATTGTATTTAGACCAGTTGATAGGAGACCTCAGCATTGAGAGCCCATCTCAATGCCTGACTTGCTTGGTTTGTATCTTGGGGAGTCCCACAGGGAGAAGGAACTTTCCCTGAAGCCACCTGTTCTTGGCTGGACTTGGATAAGCAGGAGCAGGGGCTCAGAGAGGCCAACGACTTGCCTAAAGCCCACAGAACAGAAGTTGGCATCATGACTTCTTGTGACCACTTTTTGTCCGGTTTTGCTATCCCCTGCCTTCCCACCCCTGCGCTGCAGCATTGCCCTGGGGCCAGAATCTTGTTGCTGTTGCTGTGGTGGAGCGTGGGCTAAGGCACAGGTAAGTCCTGCAGTTACCTGGGTTTAGGACCCGCCACTGTGGTCCAGGAGCCATGGTGCTCCGTGTTCCCACTTACTCCTGACCAGTCCGTGCAGCCTTCTGGTTCAGTGGATGTCATGTCCCAAATAGTCCCTATGCCCATCAGTTTCTCCCCATTCCCACTGCTACCACCCTGAGCCAGGACACCATCATATCTCCACTGGGCAGCACCTGCCTCTTACCTAGGAGAATGAGATTTTAAAAAGAGGACAACTTGTTAAATTTTAAAGAAACAACAATTTTTAGTATAAGTATATCCCAAATATTGGACGGGATATACTTACACTAAAGCATGAGGTGTTATTTATTTGAAATTCAAATTTAACTGGATGTCCTATATTTCTACCTGCCTAAATCTGGCAACTCTCCCCTCCCCAGTGTCTTTGCCCCCTTGTGTCACCCCCTGCCTCCCCAAATCTATCTTTTTGCTGGGCCTGGACCAAGATTTCTAAAATGCCAGTCTGAGACTGTGTCATTTCTTGCTTAAAACCTCAACGGCTCCCGTAGCCCTCAGGACCGTGTCCAAACTGTAAGGCATTATGTTAGTGGCTTTCAACAATGGCCTTACCTGGGACTTCCCTCCCCTAAGTTCCTCCAATGCCCTGTTCTCCCCTCTGGCCTCAGGGCTACTCCCTCTGCCTGGACACTTTGTCCGTGCCCGCATCCTGCTCCTATCTTGTCCTTGTTCACGCTTCAGCCGCAGCACTGCCTCTGTGAGCCTCCTCTGGCTCTTCCGCCAGGTCTCGTCCCTAAGCCGTCTGCTCCTGCTGAGTTCTCTTGCCTCTGATTACTTAATTTTCTGTCCAGCGCCAGACTGTCAGTGCCGAGAGGCCAGGGACCGCTCCCTCCTTGCACTTCACAAAGGCCCTAGCAAACAGTAGGTGCCCAATAAATGCTGCTGATGAGATAAGCCAAGGTGTAGTGACCGATCACAGGAGGAGCTCAGTGCTGCTGGTGGCTCCCCTTCAGCGCACAGAGACCGCTGGCCCGGATCAGAGCCTGTCTCCCTAGAGGACGCCCACAAAGATGATGGCTTCTGGCATCTTTTATGGAGACAGGCCAGCATCACACTAACTTGATGAGACACACTCCTGTCACACCTAATAAATTTGCCAGCCTGTCATCCTCTTGGCTTACAAAAAAGGAATCATCTGGAAGTGAACTTAGAAGAACCCTGAATCACAAAAGCCTAGGATCTAAACTCTAGACATATTAAAGAACGGGGGAAGGCTAGGGAATGCCCCCACCAACCTTGTGGCAATTTAAATGTCATCCAACTCTAATGGTTATGTTTCTTACCCTCTGGGCGGCAGCCAGAGGCTTCAGGCTGATTTTAAGGTGGGAACCTGGTGCTGGTGGGGGTGGGGGGAGACCACAGGTCTCCTCCTTCACCAATTAGCCTATTAATTTCAGCTCTTTGATATGCTGGTCAACTGTTTACAACTGTTTACAACTTTGGGGGATTCTTCTAGCAAAATGCTTATGAAAGCACAGACAGCTCTGACCTCTTTCTCTATATTCAAGAAACTCCTATGATGTGGCAGATTTCAATCTCTCCACTTAGAGGGAACTACCTGGCCCTTGTGCACTTGTATCTTTCTCTTCTCCCCTCTGTTCTCCTGGACTCAGCTCTTTCCCTTAAAAACCAGAACCATCCATTCCAAAGCCCCTCTTCTTTTGGCTTCTCAGTCCCTTTTCATTTGTAGATTAATTTTTCCAGAGCCTCCTGCCAACAGTTTGCCCATTTTACTTGTCTAGAGGACTCCTTTTCTAATTGATTTTCATGAAAATTGATTTATATTGAGTAACAGCATCTGAAACACCCACGCGCGTGCGCGCACGCGCGCACACACCCACACCCCCCCCACACACAGAGGCATGCGTGCGCGCTTGGGTGAGCGCTGCCTGGCTGAAGGACATTGCTAAAAAACTGAGCTGCGGTCACAAAATTATTTCTTTTGGTGGTGATGGTGGGGAGGTGGCGGGTCTGCTGTTGGAATCCTGCTAGTTCATGCCACAGAATGCCAGCAAGATCGCATCGCTCTCTAGGAGTGTTAGGGAAAACCGTAAACAGACGAATAGAAAAATGCAGTGAACTTCACATCCGAGGTTCAACTAAAAGTTGCACAAGGGAAGCTGGTACCGAGCCGCCCAAGTGTTTAGAAGTGACAAAATCCTGAATCCTGAGGAGGCACAGCTGAGTTTAATAACTGCCGTTTCACACATTAAACAAAGCTGTCAATTCCGGAAGGAAAACAATCGTGAGGGAGACAGAGGCAAGCCGGAGAAGCCAGAGCAGGAGATGAGCCTGGAGCTGCGGCTGGGGCTGGGGGGCGGGGGGGAGAGACCCCAGCCCATCCACCTGCTCAACCAGCACGCTCCTTCCATAGCCTGAGAGTCCCTGGTGCTCCCTGATGGTCACCCAAGCCACCATCCGAGCACGACGGACAGCTGGGTCCCAGCGGGGCCCCATCGCGTAGGGCAGCTTAAGGCCCGTGGCAGACCAGCAGGGGATCTCACCCCATCCCCTCTTCTTTGGTTGATCATCCCCTACTTGGGGCAACCATCCAAAAGATCCCAAACCCCCCAAAGGCCACCAGAACCGCGTAAAGCCGCAAAACCTCCAGAGTTGGGGATTTCAATGCTCAAAACAGCAAAAATGTCCTCGAGCATCTGTGGAACCGCTGAAAATTAAAAAATGTCCATCAGACTCTGTCGTGATCAAGAGAGTGGCTGGCCATCCAGAGGGAAGAGCGGCATGACCGCTACTAGTATGGCTAATGTCAGTCACAGCCACCACTGGGCGGTCCAGGTGCTGCGCTAAGTGATCTTTACTGGCGTGGTATCAACAAGTACTTACAATAGCACAGTAAGGAACAGGAAAGCAAGGCTCAGAGAGGCACTGCCTGAGGTCCTGAGCCAGTGAGGAGCAGAGCTGGGGCTCAAAATGCAGAGCTGACGCGAGTTCACTTCACCACTCCACTGTACCACTGACCGTGGACATTCTGGAAGGTACCAGGGGCCATGCCATCTGACCTTCTCCCTGAGCCTAACAGAAGTCACTGCGGCTGGCGGCCACCTGGCTTGTGCCCTGGGGTCTCGGGGGCCCACGGTGAGGGCTCCAGGCCCAGGCAATCCTCACAGATGGCTAGTTCCTTCCCACATCTCCACGGGGGGGCCACCACACATGACCTGTCCACACCCCCAACTCCGTGGCCTACAGGAAACACAGCCCCAGCTTCGGTAAGCCCAGTTTAAGAAGGCTAAGTAGAAGTTTACTAGTGATTCTGGTGGGAAATAAAGAATGTATAATTCTTAGGATCATTTTCTTTTTCAGTTTGTAGAAGCCCTAAGGTTTCTTTCCCCACATTTTTGCAACAGAATGTTATCATCAGGAAGGCACTCCCAGGCCCTTTCTGCTCCAAGGCCCTATCCTGCAGGCCTTAGCAGGCCAGGACTGAGGCCTACTGGGGAGTTCCCCCCACCACCCCATCTTTCCAGGGCCAGAGTATGGACGATAGAGAGAGTGGGAGACTTTTCTTTTCCTAAACTCTCCGTGGGAGCAACCAGAGGGGCGGCTGCAGGAAGCCAGGGTCGTGGGAGTGAAGTACCACACCCCCTCCCCAAGTCCTGCTGGGGAGGAGGTCCTCCAGCCCGGCATCCCACACCGTCCGGCCATGCCGCTCACCTGCACGAAGCCCCAGAGCGGGTGGAGCGCGCAGTGCAGCAGCAGTGAGGGCCAGCAGCAGCCCCGGCGCAGCACCAAGTCCCGGAGGAGCATCTCGGCCCGCGGCACCAGGGCTCTCGGGGGCGAACTGTCGGGGAAGCAAACGCCGGGGTCAGGCGGGCGCTGCGCGGGCACCAACGCCTGCGCGCACCCGCAGACGTAGCGGTCAGGGTTGGGCGGACACGCCCCGCACCCTGGGGCACCCTCATAAAGCAAGTCCGCCCCTTCCCTCCAGCTTGCACATTCGCTGACCCTTCGTGCACACTCACAGAAGCCGGCATCCCGGAACCCCGAACCCTGGCGCACACTTCCCGAACCTTATGTGTATCCCTTGGCCCCGGGCACACCCCCAGAATCTTGCGTGCACACTTTGGCTCCGTGCACACCTCCGGAAAGAGCCAAGCACACTTAACGGAGCCCAGTGCATCTCCCCAGAAACCTCCCCAGCCGTGCACAACTCACTCCCACTGTGAGCACACTTCAAACCCGGCGGGCACCTCTCACCCTGCCTACACACCCACGCAAACGGCCGTGCACACCCACCGACCCCTGCCTGCTCAATCGCTGAGCCCGCATGCACAGCGCCAGGAAATCACAAGCCGCGTGCACCCTCCCTGCCCCGCCGGCCCTCACTGCGCACACTGCAACATGGGCACCTCCGTGCGCACCCAATTTGCCCTCACGCGCTCTCCCGAGCCCGGGCCTCCCGCTTCAGGGCGTGAGCCTCCCCCACGCCACCCCCGGTCTCCCTCTCTGCCCGCACCCCTCCAGTGCCTCACGCCACCTTGCCTGGCGGCGGCCCCGGCCGATCCTCGGCGCGGGGAAAGGAGGTCCGCGCTCCCCCCGCGGCAGACTGTTCCCGAGCCGCCGGACGGCCCCCATTTAAAGCCAGCCGCCTCCCCGGTCCCCCGCCTTCTAGGCGGGGCCTCGGTCCTCACCCTGGCGGCTGCGCGGGCGCCCGGGGGCTTCACATGCCCGGGAGGAGCGCCGGGCACCGGAGCAAAAGTTTGCGCGCGGCTGGGGCCGAGCGGGCTGCCGAGCGGAGGCCGGGCGCTGGGCGCCCGCACGGGGCGCAGGGTGCGGCGGCTCCGGGCTGCTACCCGGCCGCGCGCTGGCCGGGAGGGGCGGCACCCCGCGCGGGAGCCCGAGGCGGAGGGGGAGGGCGGGGAAAGTCGCCTCCGAGCAGCCTGGAGCCGCCGGCGCAAGCCTCCCCGGATCCCCGCCCTTCCCCGTGGCGCCGCGCGGCTGCCCGGGGCGCGGGGGTGCCCAAGCTCTCCCCGCCCGTCACGCCGGCCCGCGAGAGGCGCTGAGCGGGAGCGCCCGCTCGGGCAGCAGGGCCGCGGGCGGAGGCGAAATAAATAATGCACGAAAAAGGAAAACAGACGTGAGCCTCGCCAGAGCCTCGCCCGCCTCCCGCCCCGGGCTGCGCTCCCGCCCGCGCTCCCCGCCGCCGCCGCCAGCGCCGCTGCAGTGATTCCTCGTCTCCATCTAGCGAGGCTATTGTGTATTGGGCGCTTAATAATTTATTTATTCACCCGCGAGGAAGAAGACTGCCAGCTCCGGGGGGTCTTGCTCCACGCTTGCCCTCCCCCCTCCAAGTTTCTCCGCGGCGACGGGAAGGGGGCAAGGACCGACTCGAGGAGACCCCCTTCTGCGCTCGGTCCCTGCGGACTGTCTCCCCTCCCCCGCCCCATTCGGAACGGCAGACTCCCGTGCGTGTCGGGGCCCCAAGGTGCAAGCCGCCTCACCCGGGGCCAAGGGCCCTGTGGTCCCTTCCGTGGTCTCAGCCCGGGGACCTCCCCAGCCACACGCTGCTTCTTGGAGAGAGCTGCCTAGGGCCCCGGGGAGGACCTCAACACCTCAACCATGTCCAACTCCTCTGCTGGAGGCGAGATTATCAACAAGTCGGTCGCGAAGGAGCCTGCCACGCTTCTCCCAAACCCGCGGCCCCTGGCCTCCTAGACCGTCCCCACCCCCATTCCCCCGCCCAGGGACGCGCAACCGCTGGGCGCCCGGGGTGTCAGCGCTTGGGAAGCACTTTGACAGATGGAGTGGCCTTCCAGAAGGTCCCGGAGGCATGGACAGTCCTATTTTTAGGTTGAGCGAGGGAGGGAACCAGGGACTGGGGACTAAGAGCAGAGTCAGACACCATAGTTTATGCCCTGAAGAAACATTTATTTAGTTCTGTTCTCGGTGTCTGTGGGCACCCCGAGTGACATAAACACGCTAATATCAACAGCTCTGCAGCCAGGTTTCCGACCAGTTTCCCAGGGACCACTCTGTGCAGAGTGCTGACCCAGGCGGCTCTCTGTGTAAATTCCGTGAGCCACTTCTGAGCCCGAGGGGTGGGGGGGGAGGCAGGGGGACAACTGTGAATGGGGGACTCCGTGCCTTTGAACAAAACCTGGGGGAACAGTCAGGGAGACAGATCACCAAATCAGCCACTCTGCCCTCCAGGGCTGTGGTGTGAGAAAGGGGCCTGCACTGAAGCAGGGGACAGGCAAGAAGACAAGGGAGGGGGCAGTCAAGGCTTCCAGGGTACAATGACCTGTGGGGAGTGAGGGAGTATTTCAAGTGTTGAGGGCCCCTTGGGCAAAGATGTGGAGATACTTGTTCATTCATTCATTCATTCATTCATTCCATATGTGGTGTCTGTGAGCACCTACGAAGGGCCGGACAGAGCGTTTGAGGCCAGTATACAGCAGGGAGCCATCACAGAGGGACCATCCTGGAGGGAGGAGGCATGGGAAGAAAATGCTGGAGAGGGGGCTTCCCGGGTGACTTTCTCTCAGGAGAAAGAGTCTGAAGCAAGAGAATGAGTCACAAAACGGAGCCACTATTTGTCAGCTGAGGTCAAAAGAACACTGATTATCTTAATGCCTTTCTACTTAAGCCCATCAGGGGATTTTGTTCAATTCAGGATCTCAATCTTTAGATGTGACAACAACCTGACATGTTTATATATGGAACTCTTTACCACTTAAAAAATGTCCTTGGGGCACCTGGGTGGCCAGTCAGTGAAACAACCAACTCTTGATTTGGGTTCAGGTTATGGTCTCAGGGTTGTGAGAGCGAGGCCAGAGTGTGGGGAGTCTACCTGAGATTCCTGTCTTCTGCCCCTACCCCCCCTCAAAAAAATAAGAATAAGTCTTTTTATTTTTATTTTTTAAAAAAGATTATTTATTTATTTATTTATTTGACAGATAGGGATCACAAGTAGGCAGAGAGGCAGGCAGAGAGAGAGAGAGGAGGAAGCAGGCTCCCCGCTGAGCAGAGAGCCCGATGTGGAGCTCGATCCCAGGACTCTGGGATCATGACCTGAGCCGAAGGCAGAGGCTTAACCCACTGAGCCACCCAGGCGCCCCAAGAATAAGTCTTTTTAAAAAAATGTTCTTTATATCATATTTTAATGCCGTTCTCACAACTCTGTGAGGTAAAAGTAATTGCTCCATTTGACAGTTTTGGAGACGTGAGGAGCTCGCTGGGGAGGACACCGTTGCTCCCCTGGGATTCAGGAGTTCTGAGCCCTCACACACTTCTATGAGAGGACCCAGGCAGGTTTTACGTGTTGAAAAGCCCTGTATCGTACATTCTGATCTTCAGTGCTCCTGGACTGGACCCAGTCTGTGTACCTCTGGGGTGTCACTGGGCCCCATTGCCTCCTGGTTCTCCTAACACAGTAGAATATCACAGCTTTATGGGGAAGACCAGGCTCTGTCATGGGCCCCCTCAAGCCCTGGCAGGACCACGGTTGGGGGGGCTGGGGTCTGGCTCCTCTCACCCTTTCTAGACTCAGAGGCAATCCACAGCACAGTACCTGGCATGTGCTTACAGGGGCCCAGGTAACTCTCCTCAGAAATGCAAGGGAGTTGAACCTTGGGGCAAATTTTAACCAATGAAAGACAAGAGGACAGACCCCATCCCTGGATTGCAGTGGCCTCCTTTGACCTGTGAGGGGCTGGCTGGGAGGCATGACTAGCGTGTTTTCTTCTGAAGACCCGGTCTGCTCAAAAGCACACACCCTTGTGTTTCCTTCCCTCCTTGCTTCCCTCCCCTTGCCTCCTTATTTTTGTAACCTGAGGGCTGTATCCCTTAAGAAAGTATCAGCCTGCAAACATCGCTTCATGCTTGTGGTACAGTTGGGACCACAGGTGGCCCCAGAAAGCAGATCTTCAGCATGGGGTGTGGGAGCCGGGTTTCCCAACTGTCTGAAGGGAATAGGGACCCCATCACTGATGGCGAACAGGGTCCTGCATGGCATATAGTGATGTCACAATTTCTAAAGCTTCACCTGTGGCTACTGGGAATGAGATGCATGTAGGAAGCGAGGCTCTGGGAGGTAACATGGCTGCCGCACTTGATCACTTGATCACTTGATCAATGTCAGGAAAACGATCTTCATTAAGACCGTGAGTTGGATGGCTTCTGACGGTACTGGAGGCTTTTTTTTTTTTTTTTAAGAATTTATTTATTCATTTGATAGAGAGCGAGAGATCACAAGTAGGCAGAGAGTCAGGCAGAGAGAGGGGGAAGCAGACTCCCCGCTGAGGAGAGAGCCCGATGCGGGGGCTCGATCCCAGGACACTGGGATCATGACCTGAGCCGAAGGCAGAGGCTTTAACCCACTGAGCCACCCAGGCGCCCCTACTAGAGGCTTTTTGGAGAGGATGATGATAGGCTCACAGAAGCCATTTGCCAACCAAAGGCATGCTGGTGAATGCTTTATGGTCACTCTTATCTCTTGACAGGCACAAAATGGACCTTGCTGAAAATCAGCCTCCAGGAGCTGGTTGTCTGGTGGCTGAGCTGGAAAGGGAGACCAAGCTTGTAGCCACGCAGGTGTCCTGGGTCCACGTGAAGGCTCTGATAGGGAAGGAGTCAGACCTTGTGATCTGGAGTCGAGACATTAGGGTGTCAAGCTCTAAAAATCTTGACCCCCCCCAAATCTCCCTATTTGTGCTGGCTGGTAGAAGCACCTCTCTCCCCCTCTGTCAGAATGAAACAGCTCCTCCTGGCCTGGAGAGCAAGCGATGACTTAATTGCAGCAGTTGCCT